TGGCCCAGGCACCAGGATTCTGGTTATATTGTTTTCCAACGATTGGGACGCAGGACAAAGCAAAAATGTATTCTTTGCGAGTTGGCTTGTTCTTTTTGTCCTGGAATCTTATCATCTGGGTCGCCATGTGTTTATCCACCAAGCGCTCAGCGACCAGAGCCAATTGCGGGCCAAAGAGCGGCTCATCAGGTAGAATATCGGTATCGTTCTGAGGGAAGAGGACCGGGTCCTTTGTAGAAACAGCGATAACATCCCTCTCGATATGATCGTGGATATCTGACTTTTTCTTGTTCCCAACGTATGGGGTAACGGGTGGCGAGGGAAGATCCATCTCAGATTGGGTGCGTTTTCGGTCGGCAGAGATGGGAGGAAGAGTATTATTCTCATCGAATGAAGGCAGTTGCGAGTGGCAGGGAGACAGAGACTGGTTGAAACTGTCGAGAGATTTCATCTCTGGCGGAGACATAAGGCTTGATACTGGCGGAAGACGATTCATGGTGATGGGAATTCGATGATGGTGATGATGACGACAACGACGACGACGACGATGATGATGACGATGTTGATGTCTGTGGTTTGTGTGGACGATGTGGGCGATGTTGATGATTTGGGATGACAACTGATCAATTGGGAATGACGAAATAGGCCGAATTGAAAGGGGAGGCGAAGTATTTGAACAGTATCAAAGGAAGGAGTGTTCGTAACTATTATTAAATAGAAGACGATAAAAGAGGAAAAAGGTAATTAGGAGAAGGAAACGAAGCAGTAGAAGAAAGTTAATGGGGGAGAGAGAGAGAGAGAGAGAGAGAGAGAGAGAGAGACACCGCCCCCTTGGCAGAAAGATACACGGTACGGGCTGAGTTGGGTTCAAAGTTGTGGTTGTGTGAGTGAGTTAGTTGACTTGACTGCCTGACCAAAAAACAACAAAGCGCCCCCTCCAACGAATTAGTCACTTGTGGACAAAATTAACAATCCGCAGTGGAAGTCAATGGAAGTCGCCTCTTGGCGGGCCTCCCCAGCAAATACGCTTATTTGTCAGACAGCCCTGGCTTTGTGACCTGTGATGGCGGGATGACGGGTTGGCCGTTGGTGGTTGGTTGGATGGGGGCCGGTCCAAGGATTGACTCTGAATGGGTGGATGACCGTGGGTGGCGAAGGGGAGCCGAGTTCCAAGGTTGTTGGCTGCGAGGAAGTTACAAGAATACCAGGGTTGTTTCTGAATGTTTTATATTCTTTGCTGAGAGGAAGAGAAGAATAATACAGAGCTAGCTGATGAGAAGATTGGTTAAATGTACATTTTAAATGACAGCCAGGAGGAGTCAGAGCAGAGATAAAAGGAGAATTGAGTATCAAAACGGGTCAGAAAGTGAGTTGACAGAGTTTGTTATTAATAGCAACAGTGTTAAAAATGGGGAAGGCTGAGTAGCCCAGGTAAAATGCTGTAAGGTAACAAGATGATACGCGGGGCAAGCGTCATAAGTTTCATACAGAATCAAACTGAGATGTAGTAGAGAGAGTGGAAAATGATCCCCTCATGATATTATTCTCCATCTTTCCTTTTATTCTTATCAATTTCCTCTGCAGTTATTTGCCTTTTAAACTTAGAATTAAGAGTTCTTTGAGAGAGGAAAGGGTGGGGTTGAGCAGTCATCTGTTTCAGACTTGAATGTTTGTTGCATAACTACCATGAAGCAGAAGTATCTAAGAGTGAGTTTGCGACGACTACATTTACAATATTAGCTGATTGAAATATGTCCTTTCCCTTCAGTCAACAACACCTTTACGATCATTATACCTCTTATCGTCAACAACACCCGGGGTGGACTACTGAGTACTTTGTAGAGAGTTGATTAATACTTCTGCAAGGCAAAAACAAGGCAAGATAACCAAACCCAGGGCCCAGCACATATACCTCTGTAATACAGCACTATCTCTCTCTATATATGTCACCCGCCTAGGCGTTTGCCAAACCTAGCAACAAACCTTGGAACGTGATCCCCGCAAGTCGTGGTCATGCAGCGATTATTGGGTCGCGGTCACTTGGCCCTTCTCACGATCATCACCCCACTCTTAGGGTCCCTACCAGGCGTCAACCACTATCAGCTGGCACACTCCACAAACTGTAACCACCTGGCGAAGTCAATTGACCACTCTCGTGCATCTGCTAATTTCTCAAGTTGTGCCTCTTCGACCCTGATAACTTGCACACTTCCATAGGGCAATCCAGGCTGCCCAAGCATGAATTTGACTAGACTAGCTTGCCCTGGTTGGTCTGATCCATGGGTGTGCTCTGACACGGGAATCTTGCCTGGGGGATCTGCCTTGTGGATCATTCGCCTGGAGAGTCTGGGACTGGGGCCGCGCATGGTTGGTAGGTTTGGTAGGGCTGCCAATTGCCAATGATTGTTCTCCAAGGTTCAAAGGTTTAACTTAAACACTGCAGGCTGTGATTCCGTAGGTTGGACTCAAAAGGCTTTACTATTTAGCCAATCAGCTCTACCTAATGTGGGAATGGGTCACGTGCTATGACTGCTAGGATTAGCCAGTGCCCCGGACAGCCACCCAATACGTGATCGGCATATATCGAATAACCATCTCCCTTCAATACCAGAGGTCAACCATTCCCACAGGTCATACATAATATGGCCCGGAGATGCATGTTCTGAAGAATCTCGCGAATTTTATCAAAATCAATGTAAGAAAGATTGATTTGCATTCTGTACTTCAACTAAAAAAAGTTAATTTTTTCCATGTGAAAATAGCTTATTTTAATCTATAAAGTCTTTATATTTTTAGAATAAAAAAACTTTAAATTAATTTTTTTATAAGCTTTAATTTTAAAAATAAAAGCTAATCATTTTATTTTATTTTATTTTTAAATTTATAAAAATTTATTTAATATATTTTTTATTTAAATTCAATTTTTTTAATAAATTAATATTTTATATAATATAATAAATTATTTTTTATAAATTTTTTTATTTATATTTATTTATATTTATTAAATTATTAAATATATTTAAAAAAGTCAAAAGATTAAGTTTTTAATTAAAAAAAACTTTATATCTTTATTATTAAAATTTATAAAATAGATTATAAATATCAAAATAATAATATATTTTTTTAAAACTCAATCAATTTTTTGAAATTTTGATTTAAAAATATTTTTATTTAAAAGTTTTTATTGAAATTAATCAGTCTCTTGATTTTTATAATATTCAGATAATAATATGATGAGTCAACTATTGAAAACAGCTAACAGCTAGTGTGTATAAAAACAGAAAAGAAATTGTTAAAGAAGAAAGAAGAAACATAAATTTTGTAAAAAATTAAGCTTTTTTTTATAGAGAGCAGACAGTATAAGAATTAGCACTTTTGTAATAGAGGCTATTGTTAGAAAGTGAATGTGAGCTGCATAAGAAGGAATTCTCTACATTGTTAACTGCTATATAATGAAATAAATACTAAGCTTGATAAGAGAAAAGAGGCCAGGGTCTGCCCAGATTATAATAACCCAAGTGGTCACATGATGAGGGTTAGGCCTAATCAGGCGCCGAGCCCAATCCGGCGCTGAGTCTAATCGGGCGCGGAGTCTAATCAGGCGCTAAGCCTAACATCACCCCTTAGTCAAGAAATAAGCATGTCCTCATGCTAATAGGTCATCATTAACCTTATCCTTCAAATAACTGTCTGTCTCTCATGCTTTCAGCCATTCATCTAGTTATCTTGAGAGTTCAGCTTTGGTAAAATTAGTCTCATGAAAGTCATGTATGATATGTGATGATATCTTAATGAGTTAAATATTAAAATAAATTCTCATCAAATCTCTTTCAACAAACTTAATATTGTAATTTGTCTCAATTCATTTAATTGATTAATATATAATTCATCTCTTATTTATTTTTTATCTATTTCAATTGAGTATAATGATATAATAGTTTACTAAAATAAAAAGTCTTTTGAATTTTTATATAATTTATTTAAGAAAAATTATTGTTATTATTATTTATTTATTTATTTATTTATTTAAAATATATTTAGTCAGTAACTATGATATTTATTTAGTTATATTAGAATTTAATTATTTTATTAATCTAACTAATAAATAGTAATTAATTTATATACTTATAAAGTTTTATCTTAGAATAATATAGTATTTAATAATTTTTTAATAAAAGATATATTTATAGTTTTAATTTTAATTCAGTTTTTTTTCAATTTAAATAAAATAAATATTTTCTCATATAATAATATAAACAACTTAATATATTACAAAACAATATAAATTAATATAATTGCAAAATAAAATAAAATAAAATAAAATAATAAACTAGTATAAAAGAAATTTTAATAGAAATATTATTAAAAATATTCTCAGCTTTTAGAGATTAAATATTAAATTCATTTAAAATTAAAGTTTATTTTTTAGAGATAATTTTTATCTTCTTTATAAATTTAATTAAAAACTTTTTTTCTAATTTAATATTAAATAGAAAGATTATATTTAATTAATTAACTTGAATATTTTTTTTAAATTTTTTTTATCTCATTGTTCAATTAGCAGTTCATTAATATATGATCTGAATTTTCAACTATATCAAAAAAATCATATCTATCAAAGTTCAAAGAGTTTTTAAATTATTTTATGTATAATTTGAGCTTGTCATAGCTCAACTAGAGATATAATAAAATAATAAAAGCTTCAATTCATCTATCTAACTAAGCAGATACAATGAGAACACTAAACTAAAAATTAAAATATAAAATAAATAAGCAATTAAATATGAATAGATGATTGAAAAAATTTAAACAAATTAATCTAAGCAACTGAATATAATTAATATTAGAATAAATAAATTTTATTTTATATTATCAGCAACTGCATTATAAGAAAAATAGCTATGTCTAAAATTCAATTGTATTTTAGAAGAAAATATTTTCTTTCTGCATTTTATTGATGTAGATTTTCACTTTGATTTCATTTTATATCTTATATACTGAGTACTTTTCTTCTTCTTTTCTCAGATCTTTATTCATTTATCAAAGCATAATTCTTTAATTATTTTTTTAATATATGATCAGAGTATAATTCTTTAAGTCAGTTTCTGAGTTTCAGTTTTAATCTTTACTGCTTAATCTGCTTATTTATTTTCTAGAATATTTATATAAGCAGGTATTCAAGATAAGTAAATCTGAATATTTTTATTCTTAATTTTAATTCTTTCTACTATTTCTTAAATTAATTTAAGATATATTTAATCACTTTAAATTTTATATTTTTGAAGTCTTTTTAATTAATACTATTTGATTATTTGAAAATATTCAAATACTATCAATATTTACTTTCTGAGAGAACATTTTATAAACTCTTATAAAAGTCTTCTGAATTGTAAATAATTCAATATTAAAGATTTCATACTTTTTTTCTAGATTTCATAAAAACATCTTATATTCTGAATCTAATTTAGAATATTTTACTACTATACTAGCTTTTAACTATTTTTATTTACTGTTTGAATCATTTGAGTATATCAATAATGAGTTCTTCTCATTTATCTCTAGAAGTTTTTGAGTATATATAGTTTTTTCCTCTTCTTTTAACAGTTTAATAATAGTAATATCTATTAATAAATAATCTTAGATTTTTCTTTCAAGGATAGAGCTTATTATAATTTATACTTTTTATATTTAAGCTTGATAATTGATCTTTAATCATAGTACATATTCTATATAGCTGAGAAGATAATATCTTCTTTAAATTACTTGAGTATTTATTTCAATTTATGAATCTTTCTCTTTTAAAGTCTTTTCCAGATACACCTAGAGAATATGAAGTAGATACTCTTATTTGAATTGAATGATTTGCTTTCATCTTCATGATTCTTAGAGTATAATTCATATATAGCTTTTATCAAATCTAATAGCTGATGGTGGAATTAATACCTCTATTTCCATAGCTCTAACTGGAGATTTTTTTAAAAGCTTTTAAAATTCTTCTTAAAGCTTTATTCTATAATAGTTGAAATTGATTTATAAAGTTACTTTGCTTTTTACATCAAATCTCTACTGTATAATCTGATACAAATGCTGTACAAGCTATAAATAATTATCTCATAGCTTGAAAAGATAAATCTTTTTCTGTATTAGAAAATCTAATAATATTATTTAAAGTTTCTCTTAGTCTGAGCAATTCTTTTTTGTATATAAACTTTAAAGTTAAGCTTTAGTATAACTATACTCTCAGTCATCTCATAGAAGTTTTTGATTTTATAACTTTATCTTGAAGAGTAATAGTTTTCTCTTGTTCATATTTTTTAGAGTAAAAATAAATCAATTTAGTTTTATTCATGTCAAATTGAATAAGATTTTTACTTTCTTTTTTGAATATTTTCTTTGCAGTTCTTTCTATATTATTACAATTTTCTTGCATAGATTTAAAATCAATAAGATCAATATCATCAATACAGCTAAGAGTTCTTACTATATACTTTTATTCTTAAATAAATTAGCTATATATAGAGTAAAAAATATAGATAAAACTGAAGATTCTTGAGAAATTTCTATTTCAATAAAGATTTTTTTCTGTTTCATTACATCAAAAAGAAGCTGAAAACTTCTTTTTGTCATAAAACAGATAGATGACTTATTTTACTAGAGACTCTGATAACTTTGCTCTTGCATAATTAAAATCATTTTATTTCTTGAAACATGATTCAAAGCTTTTTTTATATTAATAAAGACAGTAGTTGAGACTAGATCATCATTTTTAGCTATTTGAATATCATGAATAGCTGATAGAACTGTATCTATAGCTGAATTTTATTTTCTACTACTCATTTGATCATTATACAGTAAATAAGTAGTAGTGACTAGAAAAGAAAGTCTAGAACTAAAACTTTTTTATCAAAATCTTTCCTAAACAGTTCAATAGAAATATGACTTTATAGGATTTAGAAATTGATGATTTTCTATTAAACTTTGCTAGAATAACCTCTGTTGCCTCTCTTCAGCATACTGAATGATATTTATGTTTCATCAAAGAGAAGAATAATACAAAAAGTTCTTCTTTTAGCTCACAGTATACTTTTCATATTATAATAAAGTGATTTATAGAATCAGGTCCAGCAGCTGTTTTAGTAGAATTAGTGAAAATAGCTGTTTCTAGCTCATCTTTCATTAAGCCAGACCACTTCCACTTTGTTCTATCATCATGATATTCATTTATAGGAATGTATTTCTCAGATTCTATTGACTTTTGAAAATAAAACTCTCTTAAATACTTGACATTTTTCTTGAAATGTATTTGAAATATGATCTTGATTTTGATATTTATATTTTAATATAAAAAAAAAGCTATACTACTTCT